CCCCCCCCCCACCAATTACCGTTGACCCTCCCCCATCGATCAGAACCAAGTCCCTTCCACAGGTCACAGCTGACGCTACCCCATTAACTAACGCCGGCTTTCCCGGAACAGGTGAGGGTGCTGTCGTCGCCAGCGCGTTAGGGCGGGTGCTACTGTGTCCAACGGGTGAGGTAATCGCTCGTAAGGCAGTCGCCCTTAAACTAGTCGCTCTTAAAACCGCCGCTTCTAGCTCTGCAATCCGCACATCCCGCTCCTCTAACTGGTGCCTAAAGCGACAGTTTTCCTGTTTGCAGTGAGCGATTTCTTGCTCGAGCTGAGCTTTTTCGACCTTGAGCTTCTTATTCTTGGTCGTTAATGTCTGCAGCTGCACCGACAGATCGCACGCCGTTTCTCGCGTGGCGTTGATGATTTCTTGCAGGCCTGCCACGTGGCTGTCCAACCGAGATAGCAATTCCTGCGACGGAAGACCTCGTTCCACGTCAGACCATGGCTCGATTTCTGGAAATGGGAACTCAGATTTTCGGTACTCACCGACATAGCGTCTCGTCTACTGAGCTTGACAGCCTAACAAAATCGTCCAACTGATTGCGAGTACGTAAACAGCACATGCGACTGAAGAAAATAATAAATATTTAGGCTGGCCACTCAAAAAAGTCAGGAAGGGGAGAAGTACATGCCCCTTGGAATTGATGAAACATGGAAGAAGCCTCACGCTTTAAGGGTAACTTACCCCGAATGCTTCCTCATCCAGGGCCATATGTGAGAAATATAATAATATTTTCCGGTAGAGAACGAACAGGCATCCTCTTTCCGAACCCCAATTGTTGCGTGGTTGTGAATCGAAGAGCAGTGCTGGTTCCGAAAACTACAGGTGGGGTGGAGATGGCAAAACTTTCTGCGCCGAGTAGCCCTCACAGGGTGACCTTCCGTCCGTCCCGAGGTTCCCTCCCTCGGCCTCTCCGAGCCGAACGTCAGTTTTGGTGGGAGTAGAATGACGAGCCAGACGAACAGAGTTCGAAATTTTGTATTGCAACTTGGCATGAATGATCATGTGAACAATGTGCCGATGATCTAAGTCCCCTAGAGAGCGACCTGAATGCCGAGTCCAGCTCAGGTGCAGTAGACGCTGCTGATCCATAGCAGATGCGAATATCGACGAGCTCTCGATCTCACACGCCGATGGAATTATTATTCGTTAACTGAAGTAAATAATGCGATTTTGAAGGCCCTCTTCAAAATATCCCGGGGATACGGATAGTATTCCGTTGGGAGCGTTGGAAGAAAGGACAGCGCAGCTAGCGGAGCCCGTCGCTGGTACTAGAATTCGACTGGTTACCACAGCATCACGTGTAACCATGCCATTGGTTACAGCATCGCGTGTAACGATGCCGCACCTTTCCATGCCACCCGCAGCACTGCCGTTATTCGAAGCAGCTTCAAACGAAGCACAAGGCGAAATCGCTCCGGTACGGGAGCGGAGCAGCATAACGACAACAGCAGCAGCAGCAGCAGAAGATACAGCAGTTACAGCAGCCGAATCTCCAGCAGCAGCACCAAGAGTAGCAGCAGAAATGGCAGGAGCAGCAGAAATAGGGGGCCTCCATCCCCTACCAAACGAGTTCCCGCCTTTTCCTGTCCCCAAGATCCTTCCCCAGAGCAGATCATTCTGCTTCTACAGAATCAGCTTATAGCGGAGCGGACCTCCTTCGAAAAACGCCTGGCGAAAGTCGCGCAGGAAGCGGAGGAAACCCTAAACGCGCAGCAGCGATTCTGGGCGGCGCAAGTGGCACGCTTAGAGGCGCAAGTGGCGGAAACCGGGCGGCAGATGGCGCAGATGCGGGCGGAAAGGAGGGCGGCGGAGAGGGAGGCGGAGAGAGAGGCGGAGCGGAGGGGAGGGAGGTGCGGAGGCTTGAAGAGAAGGTGGAGAGCGGGGAGAGAGAGAGGCGGGCCCTGGTGGGGGAGGTGGAACTGGTGAAGGCGCAACTGAGGGAGGTGAGACTGCTGGCGGGGGAGAGAGAGGGGCGGTGAGAGTACCAACTGGGGGTGAGAGAGGGGAGATGGGGGAAGAGGGAGGAGAGGTGGAGAGAGGAGAGAGAGGCAGGGATGGAGGAAGGGAGAGAGGAGAAGGGGAGGCGATAGCAGCATTAGCTGCGGAGGGGTCGGAAGGAAGAGAGCTGGTGCCGTTGAGGGGAGAAGAAGACGGGGGCAGTAGTTGGCACAGGGGAAAGTAGGGTGGCGGATGGCGAGAAAAAGAGCGCGCCCCAAGCTTTTGGTGCAAGGGAGAATAGCCAGCCGAGTTCTTCCAGCGGCCCCTGCAACCACACCCGTGACAGCAGCAGCAGCAGCAGCAGCAGCAGCAGCAGCAGCGGGGGCGGACACTTGTCTGGGCTTCCTGACTCGCGGCACAGCAAGGAAGAGAAATCGGTGGTCTGCGGGCTTGACAGCCACCCCCGCCCCATCAAGTTTCGCCTGCCAGCAGGTCGCCCATCAAGGTGGAGCAGGCTATCCCGGATATCCCTCAGAGTAAAGCTGAGAGGCTGCGGGCACATTTAGCAGCACTGGCTGAGGAGAGGGAGGCTGCAGTGAGGGAGTGTGGGGCAGCGGAGGCAGCCGTGGCAGGGCTGTCCTGCCAGCTGGCGGTACAGCTGGCGGGCCTGGATAGGCTGACGAGATCGCTGGCGCGGGTTGGGGAGTGGGGGATATGCGGATGGGCGCAGGATTTGATATGCGGGTGGCAAGGGGGATCGGGAAAGAATGTTGGGGGAGAGTGAGGGGGGGGAGAAGGACATGGGGAGCAGCAGCAGCAGCAGCAGCAGTCACAACAGCAGGTGTCTTGTGATGAAATGCAAGAGTCATGCCAGTTGCTCGTGACTCAAGCAGATGCTGAGGCAGAACAAGGCGATCGATCAGCTGCTGGCAATGCATCTGATAACGAGAGGGCCCTTCCAGGAGTGCCTGCAGAAAAACCACCTGAAAAAACGCCTGAAGGATCGTCTGACGAAGGGGCATCACTGTGGGCGGGCCGTGTGAGCGTGCACAGGCTGACAGCTTGGCACCATGGGAGGGATGCATGTGCGCTGAGAGACATGGCCCTCAGAGGCTCAACCGCTGTCTCTCAGTCACAAAATGTTGGCAGGCCTGCCAAGCGCCGTGTGACAGACGAGTATGACGCGACGGAGGCGTGTGAGCCGAGGGAAATGGCTCTTAGAGGCTCAACCGCTGTCTCTCAGTCACAGAATCTTGTGAGAACCACAAGTCAACTCGCTGGTTGCCGTGTGAGAGACGAGTACGACGCGACGGATGCGTGTGAGCTGAGGGAAACGGCCCTCGGAGGCTCAACCGCTGTCTCTCAGTCACAGGCACAGTCACAGAGCCAGCCGAGTGAGTGCAGCAGGCACCATGGCAGGGATGCATGTGCGCTCAAGGAAGTGGCTCTTAGAGGCTCAACCGCTGCCTGTCAGTCACAGTCACAGGCACAGAGACAGCTGAGGGATGTCAGCAGCAGATGGAACTTAGGAGAGAAAGCGTGGCTGGCACGGGGAGGCATAGCCAATCTAGCAGAGCGTGGTACTGTTTCAGGTGATACAGCTGGTACTGTTTCAGGTGATACTGCTGGCACTGTTTCAGGTGATACAGCTGGCACTGTTTCAGGTGATACAGCTGGCACTGTTTCAGGTGATACAGCTGGCACTGTTTCAAGTGATACTGCTGGCACTGTTTCAGGTGATACTGCTGGCATTGTTTCAGGTGATACTGCTGGTACTGTTTCAGGTGATACTGCTGGTACTGTTTCAGGTGATACTGCTGGTACTGTTTCAGGTGATACAGCTGGTACTGTTTCAGGTGATACTGCTGGCACTGCTTCGAGCGACGCAGCTTCTAGGAAACCTGCGCCAGGTTCTCCTTCCATAGATCCTCCCTTTCAAACCAGAGAGCTTCTGTGCTCTGCTTCTAGTGGCGCAGATTTACTAGCAGTCAGCCCTCCTCCTACTGTTCTGCCCACCGATTCACCACAGCCGCTGACAGTCAACCCCCCACCTAAGGTCAACCTTGGAGGCGCAAACGCACTGACAGTCAACCCTTATCCTAGAGTCTTGCCAACCAACGCACCTCAGTCGCTGACTGTCTCCCTGTCTCCCGGCATCTCCTCCGTCCCCCCCCCTCTCCCATCCCCCCTCCCTCCTCCACCCCTCCTCCCCCTCCACCCATCCTCTCTCTCCCACCCCCACCGCCACATCCCCCACTCCTCCATTTCGCCCTCCTCTCTCTCCCCTACCTCCCTCTCCCCCACCTCTCTCTCCCCTCGCACCCCGCCCTCTGAAGCCTCTAGCGCCTCCCCGTCTCTCTTCCACAGCACCTCCCCTCTCCCCCACCCCCAGCTCCCCTATTCCCAGCCCCCACCACCCCCTCCGCATTCCTCTCCCAGCTCTTTGCCTATGGGCCCATCCGCACCCTTCCCCACCACTCCCTGCCGCAGCCTCCCACCCTTTCCACCGCTTCTGACCCCCCTGCACCGCTCTCCGCCTTTAACCCCCTCTTCCTCATCCACCTACTCTCCGCCGCCTTCGGTCTGCTGGTCTTCCGGTTCAAGCCAAAGTTAGCCGACAGGGAGCTTGGGGGCGCAAGAGAGAGAGCAGGGAGAGAGAAGGCAGGGGGCGGAGGGAGGAGTGGAGCAGACGAGTCTGGACGGCTGGATGCTGCTGCACGTGCTTCTGCTTCTGCATCTGTGCCTGCACCTTCGTCGAGAACTTCAACAGGAGCAGTAGCAACAGGAGCAGTAGCAACAGGAGCAGTAGCAACAGGAGCAGTAGCAACAGGAGCAGCTCCTGAATTCCCCATGAGACTGGGTCAAGGCGTGACTTCTGAGTCGACTCAAAAGTCAACAGCAACAGCTCCCGAGGTTCCTGAGAGGCTAAGTCCAGGCGTGGCTGATGAGAGGAGAGCAGCAGTGCAAGAGTCGGCTTTTGACGCGCCGCAAAAAGGGCCTGAGAGGCTAAGTCCAGGCGTGGCTGAGGAGAGGAGAGCAGCAGTGCAGGAGGCACGAGCTATCCTACACGCATTGAGGGCAAAATGGTCCAATCCCAGCCTTGCTGCCCGCCCTGCTCCTTCTGCTGTTGCTTCTCCTTCTCCTTCTCCCACCACCACTGCTGCTGCTGCTGCTGCTTCTTCTGCTTCGTCTCCCGCGTTTCCTCCTCTTACTACTGCTGCTCCACCTGCGCATGCTCCTGCATCTGCTTCAGCTGCTGCTGTTGCCATGCTACACACATCGTCACCGGCTGCCTCTAAGCCTCCCTCCCTCCGAAGTGGCTCTTTCACGAAGTCCGCTCTTAACGAAGGGCAAATAGCACCAGGGGGACAGCAGGTGCCAGCACTAATAGTGGAGAAGCCTTTGGTGAAGCATGAGGGGCAGCGGGGAGGACAGACTCAGCTTCTGGTGAAGCATGAGGGGCAGCGGGGAGTGCAGGCGAGTGCGCCACTTGGAATGGGGGGAATCATGAGAGCTGCACAGCTGGAGGTCTCTGATTGGCTGTCTGAGCTGGCAGAGGGCTCCCTGTCGGATGGAGAGGAGTGTCTGCTTTAAGTTGTGAAAGTTTGAGGCATGCGATGGTACGAGGCAATCCGACATGTTGAATCTGGTACTGGTAGTATCATTGTTGCTTCGCCATGTGCACCTTGCGAGGCTAATGACACAGTTGTGAGTCGGCAAGAAAACACGGATCATAACACACCAGAAAAAAGCTGCTTTCTGCTAAGAGGAAGGGAGGGGGGGGGGGGGGGTGGGGGTTGTCATGATAGTAGCACATTGAGAAAGCTTGCTTTCTTCTTGTGCAATTGGCATCGTTCTCATTTCACTGGGAATCAAGTACAAAGAGTTCCCAATATCTCAGTACATCAACCTAGATCACTGCACTAGGAAGGCTAGGTCTGCACTACTGGCGATCCACGGAGTCGAGCATGGTGTTGGGGACGTGTGGGCGAAGTAGGTAGATGCGATGGGTTGGGTGGGCGGGAATTGAACTTGAGCTGCGAAAAATGAAAAACGTGGGTGGAAGAATGACCTCCAACCAACCCCCTTTTGTAGTTGGAGAAGGGCGAATAGCGCGCTTAGATGATGCCAAACATTGCGTTACAAGCAGCTTCACATTCACAATACACAATTTAAAAAGCGTAAACGCTTAAAAATTTTTTTATTTTTTTTTTCATTTTGTGCAACCAACCATCCTAGTACACATAAGTAGCATTGCAAACCAACAGCCTCTAGATAAGAACCTGGGATCAGCACAAGCAAGGGATATGCGAGCTAGGTAGGTGTCACCAACCAATTAGGTGTGCTGGGCTGGGTTAGGTGGTTTGGGGTTTGGATCAAGAATGGAGTTGAGATGGCTACTGCTGCTGCGGCTGCTGCAGGGTGAAGAAGAGGACCGGTTAGTGCGGCATTAGCCTCGTTGAGTGGGCAGGTGGATGGAAGGTGTGGGTTAGAATAGGACGTCAAGACTTGGACTTTGCAGGGATTTTGAGGCTATTTCGGGGGCTTACCATAGATTGCTTCTGGCGGCTAGAAAGGTGAGTTCCGGCGAGGGGAGGAGAGGGAGCCGGGAGGTCCAAAGAACTCTCTTGACCCGCTAGCACTGGCGCTCGCACTGGCGCTCGCACTGGCACTAATGCTTGCACTGGCGCTGATGCTTGTGCCAGTGCTGCCGGCCGCACTGGTGTTGCTGCTGGATCGCGACATCTGCTTGCGCTTCTCCTCTGTGCGGTGAGGAGGAGGGGGGAGGGGGGGGGGGGAGGAAGAGAAGAGGGGGGGGTGTTGCGAGGCGTTTTTTAGTCGAGTCAAAAGTCATCTCGCCCGCTCTGGTGTTGCTGCTGGATCGCGACATCTGCTTGCGCTTCTCCTCTGTGCGTGGTGCAGGGGGAATGGGGGGTGGGAAGGCATGCACATGCATGTTGAGGGACAAACACCATCTTTCGAGTTGGAAGGCATGCACAGGCCTGCACGAGAAAGGCTAAAAACTCGTCTACCCACCTCCACTCCCACCAGCTAGACCTGAAGAACCGAATACGAATTCGAGTTCGAGTTCCACATTCGAATAATTGTCGAATATCACGATACAAATTATTTGTTCGAGTTGTGCTTGGAATTCGAATACGAATTCGAGTCGAATAGAGTCGAGTCCGAGTCGAATACGAATGCACTCGAGTTTTGGGCATATGAGCGTTTACAAGCTTTGTGAAGTTACCCTTGGAGTTTGTTGTCAGTTTTTTGGGCGTTGCCGTGCTTGCAGGTTTGCACAAGAAATTGGAGGGGTTGTACAAGTGGCAAGTGAAGCTTTTTAGCAGCATTGCGTAGCATCGAAAGCATTAGGACCTTTGATGCTAGGCAATTAATGCTAGTAGGAGCCAGGTATGTCCAAACTCGAGTACTAAAACGAGTACTCGAGTTATGGCTGGGCGAATACGAATTCGAGTCGAATATTGGAAGTCGAGTTTTGGCGAGTTTGAACAGCCACATAGACTCGATTTGTATTTGAAATTCGTCCGAATTCGAATACAAATTCGAATATAGTCTACTCGTTTTCAGGTCTACCACCAGCTCCTGCTGTAGCGCCAGCTCCTGCTGTAGCTCTGCCTCCCACTGCTGCCGCTTGGGATCAGCAGTACATACAGAGCTGCCTGCCCTCAAAAACCCGTGCCCCACACCCCAGCCCTCGCCCTCACCCTCAGCCTAACCCTTACCCCAACCCTAACCCTTATCCGAGCCCACCTCTCTGCAGTGCCAGCTCCTGCTGTAGCTCCGCCTCCCACTGCTGCCAAAATGTATAAGGCATCTGTATACCCACCTCTATCCCCACCTCCGAGCCCACCTCTCTGCAGCGCCAGCTCCTGCTGCAGCTCCGCCTCCCACTGCTGCCGCTTGAGATCCCCCGAGTCGCCAACAAAGCTGCAGGTGACGGCAGTCAGCACATGACAGCAGTGGGCCAGAGGACAGAGAAGGGTTGAGTCAGGGGCATGTTTTTTTTAGGCGCCTCAAAACAGGAGTCTATTTTTGAGGCGCCTCAAAACAGGGGTCTATTTTTGAGGCGCCTCAAAACAGGGGTCTATTTTGAGGCGCCTCAAAACAGGAGTCTATTTTTGAGGCGCCTCAAAACAGGAGTCTATTTTTGAGGCGCCTCAAAACAGGAGTCTATTTTTGAGGCGCCTCAAAACAGGAGTCTATATTTGAGGCGCCTCAAAACAGGAGTCTATTTTTGAGGCGCCTCAAAACAGGAGTCTATTTTTGAGGCGCCTCAAATATAGACTCACCAGGGTTGAGTCAGGGGCATGTTAGCAAGCGGTCGGAAAAGCAGACAGGAAACCTACAACCATCATTAAACCACCAGTGCTCACCTGTCAGTGCTATCATGCAGCAGCGCCAAGACATTGCCTCCAGAGGGGTACATTCCGCCCCCCACTCCACTCGCAAAGAGGCTACCCCTGATCCACTCCTTTGCACAGGTATCCCTCCCCCACCACTCAGCACCCTCCCCCTCCTCCTACCCCTCCTAGTCCTCCTCCTATCCCTCCCCCTACCCCAACAGATACCCTGCTTCCCCCATGCTTGCCCCTCCCCCCCTGTGTAACGCCCCACTCCCCTGTCTCACAATCCTCCCCTCCTGCCCGAAACTCTCAAAGCTGCCCGCGTGCTGCCGCCCGGAAAAGTCGCCTTCACTGCTGTTCACCCAGCTGCCCGACTTGCTACTGACAATCCCGGGCGGGCGAGGCGAAAGAGTAGGTGCCCGCCCAGTCCCCCCTTCCCCTCCCCTGCCCCCACTCCCAGCCCCCCGTACTGCTGCTTCTCCCGGTTTCCCTGCTAGCGAGCCTTCAAAGCTCTGGTAGGATGGTGACGTGACTGGCCCAGGGTTGGAGATAGCTGATTGGCTGATGGAGTGCGTGATCCGGGAAGGGAGGTGGTGGGATCTGCGGGCAGTGGAGGAGGAGGATGAGGGGGAGGCGGAGCGGCGGGAGGGGAGGGAGGGAGGGGGAAGGGAGGGAGACAGAGGGGCTCTGAGTGGCAGTGGAGGGGGAGGAGAAAGCCACTGCTGGTGCTGCAGCTGCTGGAGCCACTGCTGGCGCCGCTGCTGCTGCTGCTGCTGCTGGTGCTTGTGGCTGCAGGCGGGCTGAAGGGGACAGGTCCCGGGGAAGAGCAAAGCTCTCTTTGAGTATTCTCTTTCGCCGGGCAGGAGACGACTCCCGATGGCGGCGTGGAGAGGGAGTCAGCCCGGCCGGCCGGCTACTTACAGGTGCTTGTCCCTGCCCCTGCCCCTGCCCCTGACCTGGGATGGTCTGTCCTACCCCTGTCCCTACCCCTGTCTGCTTTTGGTTGGATGGAGAAGCCACCCTGCGTGTACCGTCCCCTACACGTGCTGCTTGCTTCTCTACCTGAGCCCCATTTGCCTCCTCTCTTTCCTCAAACGGACCACATGAGGGCTCCGCTTCTGCACTAGAACCGGCCAACCCTGAAGCGCCATGTGGCATGTCGGAGGCCTGTCTGGGTGCCTCTGTTTCGGCCATCAGAGGCGTCTGCAGCTGCTGCAGCCCCTCCGCCTTCTCCTGCAGGAAATCTCTTATCCTCTCCTCCGAAATGGCGTTACTGTTGCTCACACCACCTCTCACAAACTGCTGCTGCTGCTGCTGCTGGTGCTGCTGCTGGTGCTGCTGGGGCAGTGCCCCTGTGCCTACCTCCCCCCACACCGAATCCCCCACCTCCATCCCTGTCCACACAGGCACCCCTGCCAGCGACACCTCACTGCTCTCCCTCCCCCCCAATACACCCCCACTCTCCCGCACACCCCCCCTCCTCTCTCCCTCACTCTCCCTCGTCCTCACCTCGCAAGTCCCATCCCCATCCTCTTCCACGCCATGCAGACCCCCCAGTCCTACCCCCTGCCCATGCGACATTGCTAGGGATAAGTCCAGCTGGGGGAGAGATGGCCTGAGCCCCTCAGGCGGTCTCAGCCCCCCAGCTGACTTCAGGGCCCGAGTCATCCTCACGCCTTCCTCGTCCTTTGACCCCTCGACCAGCAGCATATGCTGCCCTTCCCTCCGTTGCTGCCCTTCCTTCCGTTCCTGCCCGCCCCCGCTGCCCCGGCTGACCATAACCGCCACACGGTCATCCCCATCCCTCTCCTGCCCCTCCCTACCTCCACCAGACATGCCTCCCTCCCATGCGTCCTCCCTCCCCCGCCCCTCCACTTCCCCATCGCCCTTGCCCTTTCCCGCTCCCTCCATCTCTCCCCCCTCCCTCACCACTCTCCCCTCTCCCCCACTCCCACCACCCCACTGCTTGTGCCGCCCACAGAATCACTGTTCAGATCGTCGTGGGACCCGCTATCCGCCCTCACGTTCTCCCTAAGAGGTCCTGTAACCTCGTCTTCAGTGCAGGCAGTTGAGACGCCCCCCCGCTGTGCCCACATGCTGCTGTCACGTACGAGCCTAGCGGGTCGTTGTGAGAGGGCTCCTCCATGGGGTTGAAGTCGCTCTGAGGGGGGAGAGTGGGGGCAGAGAAGAGAGTAAAAATTCGCTGCCACGCGCTCTACCCTGCTGTGCCCGCATGCTGCTGTCATGTACGAGCATAGCGGGTCGTTGTGAGAGGGCTCTTCCATGGGGTTGAAATCGCTCTGAGGGGAGGGAGAGGGTGGGGGCGGAGGAGGGAGCATAAATGTGCTGCCTTCTACCCGGCTGTGCCCGCACGCTGCTGTCACGTTTGAGCCCAGGAAGTCGTTGTGAGACGGCTCTTCCATGGGGTTGAAGTCGCTCTGAGAGGGGGAGAGGGTGCCAATGTGGGGGGGGGGTTGTTTCCAAGAGGTTAAAGCCAATCTGAGAGCGTGGTGGGGGTACAAGACGTGCGGCTGAGGGATACAGATGAGATGAGAGAGCACTCCCTTAACTTGCCACATAGCACATTACTCACTCGAAAGGAGAGATCAGAAAGCTCGGAGAAGGTTCCTGGCTGCCATCCCGTGCTAGTCACTGACATCAGGTGAGCCCTTGACATACGCAGCCCACCGTCTCCCTTCCCCTGTTCGTCCTGCCTCTGCCCCTGCTTTTCCTGCCCCGGCCCTGGTCCCTTTGATCTGGACAGCAACGGGTTTGGCTCCCCAGCCTCTATCGGGTGGGTAAGGGGAGTGAGAGGAGTGAGCTTATGGGAGAAGGCAGCAGACGAATCAGGCGAGTCACTTTCTAAAGGCTGGGCTGGAGCGTTATCGTGAGTTAGGTGCGAGACATGGGTGCTGTAGGGTGTTAGGCGCGAGGTGGGGGTGGTTGGGTGAGCTAGGCGTGATGTGGGGGTGTCAGCACCAGCAGGCGGGGGGCTGCTAGGAGCGTGCTGGCGATTGTGAGTAGATGCGAGGGAGGGGCAGGCTTGAGGGTCAGTGGTTGAGGCAGGTACCTGAAAGGGTGGGTGGGTGGAAGAGAGGTGCAGAGAGAAGACGCTGAGGTGGATGCGGCAGGGATAGAAATGCCTGGCTGGGTGGTATGCCAGCGGTCCTCCAGGTCAGTGGTTGAGGCCGGTACCTGAAAGGGTTGGGGGGATTTAAGGGAGGGGCAGAGAGGAAACACAGGGGTCGATGCGTGTCTCGTTTTAAGGCGCCTCGAAACAAAACACGGTCGATGCAACAAGACAGGGGTCAATGCGACAAGGACAGGGGTCGATGCAACTAGGACAGGGGTCAATGCGACAACGGCAGGGGTCGATGCAACAAGGACAAGGGTCGATGCGACAAGGATAAGGGTCGATGCGACAAGGATAAGAAGTGGATCTGTGGCAAATGCAACAGCTGCCATTCCAGGAGCCAGGTATTAGACGCCACTAGTGCCCCAGAAAACGAACAGGTAAACGAGGGCCGGGACCGGGACTGACCTCTCTTGAGTCACCGAGACACGATTTTGCAACTGTTGGTGTGACTGCTGAGTTGCCTCAAAACGCACCGTGGTTTGACACGAGGGACAACACTGACACTGACACTGACACCGACACTGAAAATGACACTGACACCGACACTTACCTCTCCTAAGTCACTGAGGGACATTTCAGCGGCAGTCAGTGTGGCAGCAGCAGCAGCAGCAGCAGCTGGTCCCTGCGACCTCCCACGAGCAGTGGGAGAGAGTTGGGCGCCTGCAGTTGTAGATGCCTGCGCTCCTGCTTTTGTAGGCGTCACTGCTGCTACTGCTGCTGCTGCTGCTGCTGCCCCAGTTGCTGCTGTTGCAGTTACCGCTGCTGCTTCTGCTGCTGCTGTGGTAGCAGTGGTGGTGGAGGAGCGAGGGGTGTGGTCAGTCCATCAGCCCCTGGGGAGGGCATGTCTGTCAGAAAGGGGTGCTGCGTCAGGATGGGGGGTAGCAGAGGGAGGAGGAAGAGAAGGATGAGAGGGGCAAGAGAAGGATGAGAGGGGCAAGAGAAGGATGAGAGGGGCAAGAGAAGGACGAGAGGGGCAAGAGAAGGATGAGAGGGGCAAGAGAAGGATGAGAGGGGCAAGAGAAGGATGAGAGGGGCAAGAGAAGGATGAGAGGGCAAGAGAAGGACGGGAGGAAACGAAGGGTGTGTGGCCAAATTGTCATCACTAGGGGAGGGCGTGACTGTCAGAAAAGGGTGCTGAAATAGTCAAGAGAGGTAAGTTAGAGAGCATCAGGCCAACATGGGGTTGACTGGACAGGGAGGGGATGAAGGGGCATCGAGAATGGTGACCTGAAAGCTGGCAAAAAAGTATTCAGTTGCGAAATGAGATTGACGCGCAAAAGGTAACCAAGGGAGAGGAATACCTAAGCATGCCAGGCACAGGTACTGGCCGAAAGGCTTACCTTGAGTAGCTCAGCTGCACTTGGGCGCTTGTTGGGGTCACTGGATATAGGTGATGTGATAAAGTCGCACACACAAACACACACATGACATGTCAGGCATACAACCACACAAACCACAATGCGAAGGGGAAGAAGAGGGCGGATGCTAAGCAAGATGCGGCAAATGAGGCGGGTGCAGAGAGGGCATGGTTATGGGGGAAAAGCCCCCAAACGGCCCAAGCGGTGCAAAAGCATGTGTGCTAGGCTCACCGGTGGAAGCAGAGGAGCAGAAAGTCCTTGGCCTCTGGGGAAAGGTGGCATGGAATCTGGGGGCAGGCCTTTCATTGCTTGCGCTATGCTGGGACGGGATGACTGATGCAAGGCTACCGGTGTGCAAAACGGTTGTGCTAGGCTCACCGGTGGAAACACAGCAGCAGAAAGTCCTTGGCCTCTGGGGAGAGGTGTTCTGGAATGAGGGGCGGGCCCTTGGACTGCGCTATGTGGAACAGGGCCGACACCTGGAGAGGGCGGGGGAGTGGCCAGGGATAAGATGCGAGGGAAGGATGGGTAGCGCGTTCCGGGGGATTGAATCGGCCTGAATTCTGGAAAGAGGGTCGGCCCCCTACTCTGTGCTATGTGGAACAGTGCTGACATCTGCAGAGGGAGAGTGACCAGGGATACATGCTAGGAAGGAAGGATGGGTAACGCGTTCAGGGGGTTTGAAGTGGCCTGGAATGAGGGGGCGGGCCCCTGGACCGGGCTATGTGGAACAGGGCTGACACCTGCAGAGGGCGGGGGAGAGGCATACAAGCATAGGGGGGATGAGACAAAGGACACTGGAGAGAAGGTTGAGAGGCTTGGGAGGTCAGGGAAGGATCAAGGGACCTGAGGAAGCAGAGAATACCCCTCATTCCGCCACACCCCAAAACCTTCCCTGTGGCAACAGAACAGAGCATACCTGCGAGAGGTGTTTTTGAGAATTGCAGGGTGTTTTTGAGAATTCTCAAAAACACCCTGAAAAAACATTCCGCCACACCCCACACCCTTCCCTGTGGGAACAGAACAGAGCATACCTGCTTTTGAGGCGTCTATTTTTGAGGCGCCTCAAAAATAGACCCCTGTGGGAAGAGAACGGAACAGAACAGAGCATACCTGCGAGAGGAATTCGCTCCAGGGCGGCTTGCCTGTTGCCATCTCAATGACAGTGCACGCCACGCTCCAGATGTCCGCCGGCCTGCCAAGAGATAGGGGCCAGGGGGGCGGGGGGGTGCTTCAAGGCTCCTCACAGCAAGACCCAATGAATGACCGTCCACGCCACATTCCAGATGCCATCCGGCCTGCAGAGAGAGAGACAGAGAGAGGAGGGGTTGGGGGGGGTGTTTTAACACTCCTCGAAACAAGACTCCATGATTGTGCACGCCACACTCCAAAGGTTAGTGGCCGTGCAGAGCGAGGGCAAGAAAGGGGGTGCGGTGCGGGGGGGTTGCCTGTTGCGCTCGTGAGAGCAAGAATCAATGACTATGACAGTGCACGCCTCACTCCAGGTTTCCGCGTTCCTACAGAGAACACACACCCACAGGGCCACAGAGCACGCCCCTACCGTGGCCCGTCTGCTTGATCACTTCCGGCGCCATCCAGTAGCGCGTGCCCTACATGGACCTGTACCCGCTCATCGTCGCCAGATGTGAGATGTCTAAGAGGTGCAAAGTCACAAACACACACCCACCCACCTGCCATGGCCCGTCTGCTCGATCACTTCCGGCGCCATCCAGTAGGGCGTGCCCTTCTTGGACTTGTACCCGCTCATCGTCGCCAGATGTGAGATGTCTAAGAGGTGCAAAGTCACAAACACACACCCACCCACCTGCCATGGCCCGTCTGCTTGATCACTTCCGGCGCCATCCAGTAGGGCGTGCCCTTCTTGGACTTGTACCCGCTCATCGTCGCCAGATGTGAGATGTCTAAGAGGTGCAAAGTCACAAACACACACCCACCCACCTGCCATGGCCCGTCTGCTCGATCACTTCCGGCGCCATCCAGTAGGGCGTGCCCTTCTTGGACTTGTACCCGCTCATCGTCGCCAGATGTGAGATGTCTAAGAGGTGCAAAGTCACAAACACACACCCACCCACCTGCCATGGCCCGTCTGCTTGATCACTTCCGGCGCCATCCAGTAGGGCGTGCCCTTCTTGGACTTGTACCCGCTCATCGTCGCCAGATGTGAGATGTCTAAGTGATACCAAGTCACAAACACACACCCACCCACCTGCCATGGCCCGTCTGCTTTATCACTTCCGGCGCCATCCAGTAGGGCGTGCCCTTCATGGACTTGTACCCGCTCATCGTCGCCAGATCCGCCAGCTTCCTCGACGCGCCGAAATCAGCCAGCTTGATGCACCCCTTGTTGTCCACCAGGATGTTGGCGCCCTGCGGGGGAGAGGGGGGTTACAGGGTTACAGGATGAGCATGGAGAGTGGGAGTCAATGGCCAAAGTCTGCCAGCTTGATGCACCCCTTGTTGTCCACCAGGATGTTGGCGCCCTGCGGGCAGGGGGAACGTGAAGAACAAACATGAGGGGGGGTCCGTCCATGACAAAAAATGGGCCTTCCGAAATCCGCCAGCTTGATGCACCCCGTGTTGTCCACCAGGATGTTGGCGCCCTGCGAGGCGTAGACGTGGACAGTAGAAGCACAGAGGAGAAAGTGCAGCACAGTAAGACGTAGTGCAACGGATGCAACTATTAGCATTGATGTGGCGGAGCATGATGTGATTGTAGTGAAGGTAACCCCAGGCCTGGTTTGAGCGCCTCAGAGCATTGAGTGCCTGGCTATCGGGAATCTCTCACCTTGATGTCGCGGTGCATGATGTGATTGTAGTGAAGGTAGCTGAGGCCTGTCATGAGCCCCGCGTTGTACATCCGGATCACCTGCCAGACAGAGTAACAATAAGAAGAAACATAGTCATAGAAAGCGAGAGGCAGCTCGATGCTTTGATTTCGATTGTGTGAGGAGGGTTCAAATCCTGAGTGCGAGAAAAGCCAAGAGAAGGCCTGTTGTTCCAGCTGCCAGCCTGTCTCACCTTTTTCCGTGAAGCAGCCAAACTTGTCGAGCAGGGAGGCACTGAAAACGTTAGCAGACAGCCACTGCTGCGGGATTTCGCCACACCTTCTCTGAACGACGCATCCAAACTTGTCAAGCAGAGAGGCAAGGATGGACCCTCCGGGACAAACTCTCCTCTTCCCTTGCCGTGGCTAGATAGTGCTGCGTTGAGACACCCATGCGCTCCAACTTAGCTGCCACCGCCTCACCTTCTCTGTGAAGCATCCAAACTTGTTGAGCAGTGCGCCGATGGACATCTCCGGGACACACTCTCCTCTTCCCTTGCCGTGCCTTCCCTTGCCAGAGTCTACCGGGACAAACCCATGTGTTGAGAGTCCCACTGCTGCCACCGCCTCACCTTCTCCGTGAAGCACCCAAACTTGTTGAGCAGCGAGGCAATGGACCCTCCAGGAACGAACTCGAGGAAGATGTTGAGCGCCTCCTCCTCCCTTGCCGTGCCCAGATAGCGCTGCGATATATGTGAGAGCAGATAATAGAGGAACATCCAGAGCAAGCAGCGGGAGCAGGAGCAATGAGAAGAGAAGTATGCATGCTAGAAGATGTTGAGCGCTTCCCCTTCCCTTGTCGTGCCCGGATAGGGCTGCGATATGCATGCGAGCAGATGAAGCAGGAACAGCCAGGACAAGCAGCAGGAGCAATGAGAAATATGTTTGCTGGAAAATGTTTAGCGCCTCCTCTCCTCTGCCTTTGCTGTGCCTAGACAGCGCTATTCCTCAGTCCTGCGACTTCTGTTCTGTAAGGTGCCTCGACATACTCCTACAGGCTGCCGACGTACACACAATGTTGGGGTGCGCCTTTACCACAATGCTGGGGTGCGCTTACCACAATGCTGTGCGCCTTACCACAATGCTGGGGTGCGCCTTACCACAATGCTGGGGTGCGCCTTACACCTTACCACAATGCTGGGGTGCGCCTTACCACAATGCTGGGGTGCGCCTTACCACAATGCTGGGGTGCGCCTTACCACAATGTTGGGGTGCGCCTTACCACAATGTTTGGGGTGCGCCTTACCACAATGTTGGGGTGCGCCTTACCACAATGTTGGGGTGCGCCTTACCACAATGTTGGGGTGCGCCTTACCACAATGTTGGGGTGCGCCTTACCACAATGTTGGGGTGCGCCTTACCACAATGCTGGGGTGCGCCTTACCACAATGCTGGGGTGCGCCTTACCACAATGCTGGGGTGCGCCTTACCACAATGCTGGGGTGCGCCTTACCACAATGCTGGGGTGCGCCTTACCACAATGTTGGGGTGCGCCTTACCACAATGTGGGGTGCGCCTTACCACAATGTTGGGTGCGCCTTACCACAATGCTGGGGTGCGCCTTACCACAATGCTGGGGTGCGCCTTACCACAATGCTGGGGTGCGCCTTACCACAATGTTGGGTGTGCGCCTTACCACAATGCTGGGGTGCGCCTTACCACAATGCTGGGGTTGCGCCTTACCACAATGCTGGGGTGCGCCTTACCACAATGCTGGGGTGCGCCTTACCACAATGCTGGGGTGCGCCTTACCACAATGTTGGGGTGCGCCTTACCACAATGCTGGGGTGCGCCTTACCCACATGCTGGGTGCGCCTTACCACAATGCTGGGGTGCGCCTTACCACAATGCTGGGGTGCGCCTTACCACAATGTTGGGGTGCGCCTTACCACAATGTTGGGGTGCGCCTTACCACAATGTTGGGGTGCGCCTTACCACAATGTGGGGTGCGCCTTACCACAATGTTGGGGTGCGCCTTACCACAATGCTGGGGTGCGCCTTACCACAATGCTGGGGTGCGCCTTACCACAATGCTGGGGTGCGCCTTACCACAATGCTGGGGTGCGCCTTACCACAATGTTGGGGTGCGCCTTACCACAATGTTGGGGTGCGCCTTACCACAATGTTGGGGTGCGCCTTACCACAATGCTGGGTGCGCCTTACCACAATGTTGGGGTGCGCCTTACCACAATGTTGGGGTGCCGCCTTACCACAATGTTGGGGTGCGCCTTACCACAATGTTGGGGTGCGCCTTACCACAATGTTGGGGTGCGCCTTACCACAATGCTGGGGTGCGCCTTACCACAATGTTGGGGTGCGCCTTACCACAATGCTGGGGTGCGCCTTACCACAATGCTGGGGTGCGCCTTACCACAATGCTGGGGTGCGCCTTACCACAATGTTGGGGTGCGCCTTACCACAATGTTGGGGTGCGCCTTACCACAATGTTGGGGTGCGCCTTACCACAATGCTGGGGTGCGCCTTACCACAATGTTGGGGTGCGCCTTACCACAATGCTGGGGTGCGCCTTACCACAATGTTGGGGTGCGCCTTACCACAATGCTGGGGTGCGCCTTACCACAATGCTGGGGTGCGCCTTACCACAATGCTGGGGTGCGCCTTACCACAATGTTGGGGTGCGCCTTACCACAATGTTGGGTGCGCCTTACCACAATGTTGGGGTGCGCCTTACCACAATGTTGGGGTGCGCCTTACCACAATGCTGGGGTGCGCCTTACCACAATGCTGGGGTGCGCCTTACCACAATGCTGGGGTGCGCCTTACACACAATGCTGGGGTGCGCCTTACCACAATGTTGGGGTGCGCCTTACCACAATGCTGGGGTGCGCCTTACCACAATGCTGGGGTGCGCCTTACCACAATGCTGGGGTGCGCCTTACCACAATGCTGGGGTGCGCCTTACCACAATGCTGGGGTGCGCCTTACCACAATGCTGGGGTGCGCGCCTTACCACAATGTGGGGTGCGCCTTACCACAATGTTGGGGTGCGCCTTACCACAATGTTGGGTGCGCCTTACCACAATGTGGGGGCCTTACCCAATGCGTGCGCCTTACACTGCTGTGGGTGCGCCTTACCACAATGCTGGGGTGCGCCTTACCACAATGCTGGGGTGCGCCTTACCACAATGTTGGGGTGCGCCTTACCACAATGTTGGGGTGCGCCTTACCACAATGTTGGGGTGCGCCTTACCACAATGTTGGGGTGCGCCTTACCACAATGTTGGGGTGCGCCTTACCACAATGTTGGGGTGCGCCTTACCACAATGTTGGGGTGTGCCTTACCACAATGTTGGGGTGCGCCTTACCACAATGTTGGGGTGCGCCTTACCACAATGTTGGGGTGCGCCTTACCACAATGTTGGGGTGCGCCTTACCACAATGTTGGGGTGCGACAGATTCCTCAGCACTGCCACTTCTGCCTCCAGTCCCTTGATGTACTCCTGGGAGCATCGAAAGCATTGCGCACATGAGGAGAGACGAAGCACAAATCAGCTTTTGAGGCCTCTAACAACCGGTCCCTTGTACTCCGGAAGGCATAGAAAAGATTGCGCACATGAGAAGAGAGCAGCAGCACGGTGACTCTTGAGTCGACTGGAAAGTAATCTCCAGTCCTTTGATGAGTGCAATGCTTCAGAGAGCATCGAGCACAATCATGCTCATGCACATGCACCTTCCAAGCGCGCCCCCCCTATCAGCTCACACTTTCAGGCGCCTCAGACCCAGACACTGTTGTGAGTCGACTCAAAGGTCACCCACTCAAAAGCACCCATACACGCCCCACACAACCCACTCGCCTTATTCCTTCACCTCAACCCCAGGCAACCCTTGTGTCTCTCACCTGCGCCTTCTCATTCTCACGCACCCATGCAAGTCCGCCCGCCCTATCAGCCCGCCCGCCTCAAACCCACAAACCCCTTCTCCGTCTCACCTGCGCCTTCTCATTGGTGGTGGAGCTGCTGAGAATAAGCACCTGCTTCACGGCCAGCAACTGAGCCCCATGTACACGCACCCATTCACACCCATTCGCACCCATTCACACCCATTCGCACCCATTCGCACCCATTCGCACCCATTCGCACCCATGTGCACCCGCGCCTATCAAACCTTCTCTGTCTCACCTGCGCCTTCTCCTTGGTGGTGGAGCTGCTCGGAATGAGCACCTGCTTCACGGCCAGCAGCTCCCCGGACTCCAGGTTGAGCCCCATGTACACGCACCCGTACGCGCCCGCACCGATCAGCTCGCCCTTGCGCCACCGGATGGGCTTCCCCTCGTCGATGGGCGGCCGGCTCACCCACGCATCCGCGAGGTCGGTGGAATCTGGAAAGAACTCTGGCACTGGGAGCTTCGTCACGGCTACTGGCCCGGGTACTTTTCCTACTGCTAATGCTGCTGCTGCTGCTGCGGCTGCGGTGGCTGATGCTGCCGCTGCTCCTGCGCCTGCTCTTGCTTCTCCTGCTGCAGAGGCCCGTTGCTTCGACGGAGACGTTTCGCCCGCCTCTGCTCTGGCTGTTGCTTCAGCTGCTGCTGCTGCTGCTGCGCCAGCTCCAGCTGCTGCTTCTCGCGCTGCTTGCTGCTGCTTCAACTGCTTCCTCTACGCGTCCTCCTTCTTTCTCCAGATCGACCCGCCCTATCCCAGCCTCACTACTACCAACACGGCTGCTGCTAAAGCCCATTTCATTACCCTCCTCCCCATCCAGACCCCTCCCTCCGACAAGCCCTTACCTCCACCCCCATCCCCCGTCTCTCTTTGGGAAACGTCCCTACATTCGAGCTCGTCCCTCGCGAAGCAACGTTCGTCTCCCGAGTTTCCTCTCCAGGCACCTCTGAAAGTCGTCTTTCACCCTCTCTCACTGCCGCTCTGGCTGTCACTTTTCCAAAATGTGACTCTAACGGGGGCTCAGGCGGCCATCTCGTGGGTTCAGGCGAGCGTGCTTGGGGACGTGGCGACGTTTGCGGCTGCTGCTGGCGGTGCTGTGGCGACGGTGACTGCTGCTGCTGCTGCTGCTGGCGGTGCTGTGGCGCTGGGGATGGGGTTGTTCCCGATGCAAGCACAGCTCCCTTTACAAGAAGAAATAACGAGGGTGGGGAAGAGGGTTGGGGCAAGAGGGGGCGGAGTGGGGCGGATTGGGAGGCGGGGAGAGAGGGTGAAGAAGAAATTGAGAGGAGGAACACTCAATAGCGAAGCTTTGGTAGGTAGGTAACACTCAATGCGTGAAGGAGGATCACACCCTGTGTCAGATTCAAGCGAGCGCAGTGCAGCAGGATCCAGACGATTAGGGTGAAAGCCTCACTGAAAGAGAAAGCCCCACTTAGGGTGAAAGCCTCACTTAGGGTGAAAGCCTCACTTAGGGTGAAAGGCTCGCTTAGGGTGAAAGCCCCACTTAGGGTGAAAGGCTCACCTAGGGTAAAAGGCTCACTTAGGGTGAAAGCCTCACTTAGTATGAAAGCCTCACGTAGGGTGAAAGGCTCGCTTAGGGTGAAAGCCTCACTTAGTATGAAAGCCTCACGTAGGGTGAAAGGCTCGCTTAGGGTGAAAGCCTCACTTAGGGTGAAAGCCTCACTTAGGGTGAAAGCCTCACTTAGGGTAAAAGCCGCACTTAGGGTGAAAGCATCACTTGTGAAAGCCTCACCGCAGCACCATCCCGATCCAAGGGCCTTTTCTCAACAGCGCTCTGCTCTCCGTTCGGCGTGACGTCATTCGACCCATTCTGCCTGCCATGATCGACTCCAGCGGCTGCTGTCGTGACGTCATCCGTTCTCGCCGTGACGTCATTCGTTCTCGCCGTGACGTCATCCGTTTTCCGGTAGTAGTGCTTGGGTGAGCGGGGAGGGAGACACGCGGCAGCTGCTGCTTCCGCCCGACTGCGAGTAGGGCGAGTGGGCCGAGGCCTGGCCGGGGCTTCATCCTCGCTTTTCTGCGAGGAACGGATAACAAAGGAGTACCAAACGGTGTTTTTGTGAATGCTTGAGGGGGGATCCAACCCTGTTTTCAGTCAGAATGCGTGACGAAGGATCTAACCCTGTTTTCAGTCAGAATGCGTGACGGAGGAACCCTGTTTCCAGTCAGAATACGTGACGGAGGATCGGACGTAGACGACAAGGAACGGATCGGACACTTGATCAGTGAATGGGACACGAGATTCGTGGATTCGCGATCTATGCGACAGGGATTTCGCGACTGCTGCTACTGATTCGTAGGATTTCGAGACTGCTGCATAGACGGCGCATGTCTGTCTCGGTCATCCACCATTTACTGACAGACAGACCTGCACCCGTGAGGAGTCTATTTTTGAGGCGCCTCAAAAACAAACCTGCACCCGCTCCTGACCTGCACAAGCGGCGCGAACCTAACCCGAAACTATCGCCAGGAAGAGATCCGAATCGTGCTTGTGCGTGTAAAATATGCCTGGATCTCTTTCTGATTCGCGCGAGGGTTACTGAGGAACAAGGCGAGCCTTTTGAGCCGACTCAAAAGCAGATTCGCGAAAAGAGAGTGGTGAACAAGGGAAGGCTAAGAGGAGAGGCTAAAAGGCAAGGTCAAACAAACCTGATCTAAAGTCGCTTGCTGTGGCGGGTGCTTCTTGCTGGTTCCCAGACAGCCTCCCATGGACGCAGCTGTAGGGATAGCAGCACTCCAGAATCGCTCAGGATCAAATCTCGAAAGGTCGGTGGCGACACCAAGAACATCCTAGAGAATAAAGCGTTTATTGTTTTGAGATGAAAGGCGAGAATCTGGACTAGCGACTCCGCTCGTTTTCTACGGCCAGGACTCGACTGGAGATGAATGTGTAAGCAGGGTTAGACAGAAGTAATTTGGAAGCTGTAACATTGTCGCTTAGACATCGCAGTGAGAAAGTCGCTGAGGTAGCGTAGGAAACGTAGGACGGAATCGTACGAGCATCACCATTTCGAGAACGGAATCTTGGAAGAGGTCACACACCTCTCACAAAAAATGGTCGAAGCCTAGTTACCACCCTCATCGCTCACTAGACCTACAACTCGAGCAGCAAACCACAAGAACGATTCACAATACCACCGCAGCACAACACAACCCAACGCCGATACCTTGGCTACAGTACCAAACAACGCCTGACAACAACCATGGAGTACAGATTCTGATACAGTAGGTCTACAGAAAGGAAATCCGGAGTAAGGACATAAGTCGTCCTGCAAAACAGATTCTGAGTCTCAAGACGAGTCAATGAAGATGAAGATGGTGGGGTGTGGCGAAGAGAGGGAAGCAAGGGTGATAGTACGGTGAAATAAGTTACAGACAGATATATGACGGTGCTGCTGGAGATGGGGTCACAATCCCTTGTGGTGTTGCGGACCATGGAAAATGCCGATGCGCTTCGGGGAGTTGTTGCCTGACAGCAGGGGACCTGCTTTGCTTGCAGTCGTCCCCTTGCAGTCCATTGCGAGAGCATGCGACCCATAAATGCTACACGACGATGGTTTGCGACTCTGGTCAGGGCGTGTTCGCGCTCGGGGGACGTCCCGAGGCAAAACTTCCAGGCATCAGTTATGCGGGGAAGATCGCCCAAGCCCCAACTTTGATTCATCGTGTCCGGATACAGTAACTGTTGCCCAGAAGTTCTGCCTCGGGCCTTGACCCGAGCGCAGAGCGCGCCCTCAGTCCGCTCTGAGCCACAAATGTGGACGGTAGCTATCCGTATGTTCTAGATAGTGACCCCTAAAACACACTTTGATGGGTAGCTGTTTAGCCGATTTTCCTTTCTACAACGGAATTGTGATCTTTGAAACCCACGGGGTTTACAGGGTTTTGTTTCCGTAAACACGAAAGTGAATCGGTAGGTCTTTAAGGCACACGGGTTTGACTGGGAGGAAATCTCGGTGGATACGGGAACGGGGCCTAGCAGAGCGAAAATAACTCGAACTCTTCAAAATCTGGGTTGCTTTGGATGGGAACCCGGATCTGACGACTGACAAAAATCCAATTGGCACTGCAAGGGTGTTCTTCTGCGCGCAATGCACTCGCATTGTTTTCCGCCGAATTGATTCTAGCGGAGATTGTTTGTGTCAGAAGCGCACAAGGGATGGGAGGAATTGTACTGAAGAATATGCAAGAGGGGCAAGGTCTGACACAAGCAGTGCGATGCGATGCGACGATACACCTTGAGCCTGACAGAGAAACACAGCTTTTCAAGGTGCCGGTAGACAGAAACGCGCAGGGGTTTCGCACGGCATCGTCACGGGCATTTGGGCCTTTTGCACGGGAACGAAGGTTACCGTTTTGATGTTTTGCGGGGTAGGTTTGAGTGGCATATTTTGGCGAGTCGTTTTTCACTTAGTTACCCTGTATTAAATTTCAGCGCTTTCAAGCGAGAGTGATTTTCTCTGGTGTAGCACCAGAGTGGTGGTTGGCGGGTGAGATGTTGAGTGAGTTTCTCTGGTTTGGTTTGCTCCCTTTTATACTCAGGGAAATGTAGTGAGGGTTTGGATTTGTATTTCAGTTCCAAGTGTTAGATGCGTGTTCTTAAGATTTATTACATTACGAATTGAAGGTTCGTGTCGCAAAAAAAACTGCTGCGTGGATTGTGGGAAGTCGTTTTCGAGTTTGTTCCTTGGTTGGTTGTCGGATGTTGAGAACGACCCCTGGCATCAGGACATCGCGACTCCATTTCGCTGCCAGTCAGCGTTCGGTTTCATGCGGCCGATGCTGAAGCCACAAGCAAACCCAACAAGGCGTACGCACCTTTGCGAGCTCAACGAAAGGCTCGCTGAGCTTCGCCGGAGCGCTATTCCGAGTGCGTCTGGAAGTTTGTGGTGAAACGGTTGCGGCGCACATCTTTCGTCTTGTGCCGCATGTTCGTCACCGCTGTCATGATGACGCTGCACTGCTGGCTCTGTTCATGGCCACGTTGAGTGGGCCGTTGCTCGTGTGCCAACGCTAATGAGCCGATGGTTTCTGATTGGGCTACGTTTTCAGCTGGGTCTTAGGTGTGCTCCAGGTGTACAATCTGGGATTTGCTTGGCATGCGATTCACTTTGCCCCGGTAATGGCCCACGCATCATATCATACACATGAAGTCCTTTTCAAGCCCAGTTTTTTTTTCAAGCGGGTAATCCAGAATCGAGCGCAAAACTTTCACGGTCGAAATGGGCCAATATAGGGTAGTCTGGTTACTTAGCTGGCATTTTTCAATCTAAAGCGGGTGACCATTGTTGTTTCTTTTGCGTTCATTGGGCGCACTGTGAGGCCTCAGGACGTCCCTTCTGCACGTTTGAAGATACCCTATGGATTCATATGCTTTTCGAACTTACAAGCAGTGGTCAACATTGAAAGGGGAGAAACGCCAATACTCTCATATAACAATGACTATTAAACAGCCTGCTTGACCTTCCAGTACTGCACAAAGATGTCTGCAACCACAAGTGGCATTGCCACAACACTCAGCCATGTTCAAGACAAGGGACCCCAGAAAATTCATTAAATGGATAAGCTGGAGGGTTGTTGTAAGTAGTGAGATGATGTGGTGGTTAGTGAGCAGGGGGCTGCTGGTATTGGCTGAAGGGACCGCTGGTACTTGGCTCCTTCAACACGCAGCAGCAGCAGAAACCGACCTCCGAGTCACCAGCAATGGCAGTTGCAGCCAAGAAGTACAGCAGCAAAATCAAATCAACGAGCCGACCTCTCAATGCACCGAATAACCCCCCGAATCCATTGGGTATCTTCCGTTTCGAGCCATATTGCCTCCTGGTCCTGCCACCCCACCTCCCCCAACCCCTCCCCCCATGCCTCCCCCATCATGTCCATCTGGCCGCCACCCCCCGCCATAGTACTCCCCTCCGCCCATGTCTGCTGGCCCATTGCCATACGCATATGCATCCTGCGCGTGGCTTTGCTGGGTAGGTCCCCATTCTGGTGGTGGTGGGAGGCAGGGTGAGTTGGAATGGAACAGCGGTGGGTGGAGCTAACACATGGGTACACATGGGTACACATTTTTGAGACGTCTGGAAACTCGTGCATGTTTACATATGCGATATGCACAACATGCACACTGCCACGTATGCTGCATAAGTGGCCCCGAGGACACCCATACCTGGAGTAGCCTGCACTGGGGTCGTGGGGCGAGGCGGGTCCTGCTGTTGCCATGGATGCTGCGGCTGACCCTGCTCGTGCTAGCGCTGAGGAGAGGAGGCAGGAGGGAGGAGGGGAGGGGGGGGGGGGGGGGGGGGGGGGGGGGGGCGGGGGGGGGGGGGAGGTGGAGGGGGGGCAGATAAACGGGGAGGGAATGAGTGGGGAGAGTTGACATTTGAGTCGACTCAAAAGTGGAGCGAGGGGGCCCTGCTGCTGCCATGGATGCTGCGGCTGACCCTGCCCATGCTAGGGCTGAGGGGGGGGAGTTGGGAGGGGGGGAGGACAGATAAATGGGAAGAGAACGAGTGGAAAGAGTTGAGGAGGGGGGGGGGGGGATGTGGCGCCTGCTGTTGCCATGGACGCTGCGGCTGACCCTGCTCGTGCTAGGGCTAGGGGGACGAGTTGCGGGGGCGGTGGGGGGAGAGGGGGGGCAGATAAATGGGAAGAGAGGGTGGAGAGACGATGTGACACCTGATGCTGCCGTGGACGTTGCTGCTGATTCTGCCCGTGCTAGCAGCACACTGTTATGCTGACAAAAGAAATAGTAGCCTAGAAGACCCCTCTTAAGTTGACGGTTGACCCAAGGGGCATGATTAGGGTTGCATGTCTCACCTGCTGCTGATTTGCGAGACGATGGTGCTGCCATGTGAGGCGTTGGGTCCATCTGCATATCCTGATGTGATGATGATGACGTGGCATGGAGATGATGAGGAAAAAAGAGGAAAGAGAAGGAAAAAGAAAGAGGAAACAGAGAGGAAAAGGGAGGAAAAAGAAGGCATGATGATGAAGGTAGGAAACAAGAGAAATCGGGCAGCAGAGGAAACAAAAGAAAAACAAGAAAAGGAACCTGAAGTGGGGGGGAGGGGGGAGAACACTTTACCATGGGGGCAGCTCCTGCAGCACTGGACCGAGAGGACGAGAGACAGAGAGAGTAGGCGGATGGAGGGGGGTTGTTTGGGGGGGAAGGGGGGGGGGAGGTGGGGATGGGGAGAGGACAGCGTACCATGGGGGCAGCTCCTGCAGCACTGGACCGAGAGGAAGAGGCAGATGCATTCGAGTGCCGTGATATGCCTGTGAGGAAGCAGCGAGACAGTGGGCAGATGGGGAAAGGGTTGTCCCGTGGGTGGGGGCGGGTGGAGGAGATTGTTGAGTCAACTCACCAGTGACAATGCTAGGTGCAGTGTGGTACACCAAGCCTTTTCCTTTGACTGAGATATTTTCATTCGTTGAAAAATGCTTGCCTGCCGCGGCGCAACGGAGAGCACTCCAAACGCACACCCGGTAGTACTCCAGGATCCCTTACCACTCACCCAGTAAAAAGCCTAATTTTGAGGAACCTAAAAACAATTACCCACCCAATAATTGGCTGCCATATCTTTTGCAACGTCGCCAACCGCCCACCTCCTCCTCCTCCCGCCCCCCTCCTCCTCCCCCCTCCCCTCCCCCAGCATCCGCAGCCTGCTGTTGACTCCTCATGCTCATACTCTTCGAGCCAATCTTCCTCCCCAAAAACCCCATACCCTGAGACCCCTTCCCATGCCCTCCCCCTCCGCCCCCCCCTCCCCCTCCCCCTCCCCCCTCCCCCTCCCCCCCCCTCCATCCATATGCATTGGGTCCGGTCTGCCCGAAAAATTCTCCGGCAGGCCCGCAGGCCCGGCATACCCTCCATCTTGAAAAGATTGCATGGCGCGCGGTGAGACTATACTGTATTCCTGTCCCTGCCCCTGCCCCACAGACTGCTGCGGCTGTTGCAAGGTGGGAGGGGCACGGGCACGCATACGTGCCTGCTCCTGAACCCGCGACTTGCGACTCTAGCTGCTGCTGCTGCTGCTGCATCTGCTGCATCATCTGCTGCTGCTGGAAAAGCTGCTGGGCCTGGGTTTCTTGACCGGGGGGTCATGGCCTCCAGGCCTACCCCTGACAGCTGAGACTGCAACCCCCCCAGGTTCCCTGATAGCTGCGACTGCAACCCCGCCAGGTTCCCTGACAGCTGAGACTGCAACCCCGCCAGGTTCCCTGATAGCTGCGACTGTAGGGCCTGCTGCTGCTGGTATTGTGACTGCACTTGCTGCTGCTGCTGCCGGGAGCGCGGGGTTGGCGGGTCGAGACCTACACCTGACAGCTGCGGCTGCAACGGCTGCTGCTGGTAGTACTGGGCACGGGAGCGGGGGTTAGGGTCTCCAGTGCTGCAGGGTTGACTCCAGAGAGCTGAGTCTGCAGAGTCAGTGGTTTCTTCTGCATTTGCGGAGTACGGCTGCTGCTGCTGCTGCTGCTGCTGCTGCTGGTGCATCTGCTGTTGCTGCACCTGGGTTCGTGTTCTTGGTGTTAGGGCCTCTAGACCCACCCCTGACGGCTCTGTATCAAGCGGGTGCGGCTGCTGATACTGCTGCTGAAGCTGCTGCTGCAGCTGCTGCTGCGCGTACTGCCCCTGTGACCGCCCTCCCACCACCCCTCCTAACTGCTTCCCCATGGGCTGCTGAGCCATCTGCTGCTGCGGCTGCGCATACTGGCCCGAGTTTCTCCTTGCTCCCTGCTGCTCCAGCCCAACTCCTGACAGCTGACTCTGCAGCTGCTGCTGCTGCTGCAACTGCTGTTGTTGCTGCAACTGCTGCTGCTGCAGCTGCTGTTGCTGCAACTGCAAACTGCTGCTGCTGCAGCAGCTGCTGCTTCTGCGCCAGCATCGTAGCCGCTGCTCTTGCTCCAGAGCCATCCTGGCCCTGATACCCCCCCTGCTGCTGCTGCTGCTGTGGCAGGTGCGGCTGCCAGCGGCTGCTTCTGCGGCTGTTGCAGGTACCCCCCTCCCCTCCCCCTCCCCCTCCTATTCCACTTCCCCCCGACTGCCCCGGCGCCCCTTCCCACTCGTCTAGATGCTCGTCCAGGTGGCTGTAGGGCTTGCTGGCGCCTTGCGGCAGGGAGGGCAGGTGCGGGGATGTGACGGGGTGCGTGCGGCTGGAATTGGTGGCAGCAGGCTTGGGCGACGGCATGACAGGCGGGACCTGAATGCCACTCTGTGTTGGGGGAAAGGAAAAGGGACGGAGGGAAGGCAGAGAGGGTGGGGAAGTGAGTGGCAGGGAGGGCAGGTGCGGGGATGTGACGGGGTGGGTCCGGCTGGAATTGGTGGTAGTAGGCTTGGGCGATGGCATGACTGGCGGGACCTGACTGCCACTCTGAAGGGGGGGGAGGGGAAGGGGAAGGGGAAGAGGAGAAGGGGAAAAGGGAAGGGGGTTGGGGAAGGGAGCCGCAGGGAGGGGAGGCAAGAGTGGAAAGGGGAGGTGGAGAAGAACGGAAGGCATGGGGATTGGGGAAGGAAGCGGCAGGGAGGGCAGGTGCGGGGATGTGACGGGATGAGAGCGGCTGGAGCTGGTGGCAGCAGGCTTGGGCGATGGAATGACAGGGGGGACCTGAATGCCGCTCTGTAAGGGTGCGGGGGGGGGGGGGGGAGGGGTGGGGGCGCGAGAGGGGAAGAGTGATGCGGAAGGGGAAAGGGCAAAAGGTGAGGGGAGGTGCAGGGATGTCACGGGGTGGCTGCAGCTGGTGGCCGCAGGCTTCCGCGACCGACGGCATGACTGGCGGAATTTTGAGAATTCTAAAAAATGACTCCATTGAACGACGGCATGACTGGCGGAACCTGAATGCTGCTCTACAGGGGGGTTGGGAACAGCAGGGGGGTTGGGAACTGCAGGGGGGTTGGGAACAGCAGGGGGTTGGGAACAGCAGGGGGGTTGGGAAGGCACGGGAAAGGGAAGAGAGCGAACGAGGGGAGGTGCAGGGACGTGACAGGGTGGGTCCAGCGGCTGGCAGTGCCTACCTGGCAGTTGGTCTCCTGGCAGGGTCCCAGGAGCAGAGAGCAGCATCATGAGTTGCAGCCGGCACACTAACCCCAACACACTCCCCACAGCAGACTTACTACTCAGTTCAAATTCACCAGGAAAAACGGGTGCTGTAGTGTCAGCGTGGCAGCTGGTCTCCTGGCAGGGTCCCAGGAGCAGAGCAGAGCAGAGCAGCGTCATGTGGCTCACTCACCCCTTTCTCGCCCCATTTGATCCGCCGATCTCCTCTCCCTGCCCTATATACACCAACCCCACCCTCTCACGCACCAGGAGAAAGGTAGCGACTGCGCAGCAGTGGGACGCCTGGCAGGGTCCGAGGAGCAGAGCAGCGTCACCTTACCCACAAACCGCCCCCTGATCTCCCTTCTCGTCACCCACTCAAACCCACCACGAAGTAGCGGTGCTGCAGCGGCTGTCCGGCAGTGGGACTCCTCGCGGGGTCCCAGCAGCACAGCAGCGTCATGAGGTGTCGACAGCACACGCACCGAGCACACCGACGCCAGTAGACTTACTACTCAGTTCAACCTCACCAGGAAAAACGGGTGCTGCAGCGACTGCGCGGCAGTGGGCCTCCTCGCAGGGTCCCAGGAGCAGAGCAGAGTCACGACCTGTCGCCAGTACAATAACCCCACTTATCTCTCAGGGTCAGCTCCAACCTCACCAGAAAGAAGGGGTGTTGCAGCGACTGCGCGGCCGTGGGCCTCCTGGCAGGGTCCCAGGAGCACAGCAGCGTCATGAGGTCGATGGCTTCGGGGGAGGCTGATGGGATGAGCTTCGACAGTGGGATGGGCGTGTACTGGGGGGGGTAGGGGAGGGAAGAGAGAGGAGAGGGAGGAAGGGGCGTGTAGGGAGGGGAAGGGAAAGCGGGGGAGGATCAGGAGCACAGCAGGAGAAAGCGGGGGTGGCGCGTGTACTGGCGGGGGGTTGGGCTTGTAGGGAGGGAAGGGGAAGCGGGAGGAGGATCAGGAGCACAGCAGCGTCATGAGGACGATAGCCTCAGGCGAGGCTGATGGGATGAGCTTCGACAGTGGGATGACTGGCGGGGGGGAACAAGGGGGGGGTTTGGGGGGGGAAGTGAGGGCAAGGCAGAAGGAGCAGAGCAGCGTCACGAGTTTGATGGCTTCGGGGGAGGCTGGCGGGATCAACTTGGATAACGGGATGGGCGTTTACTGCGGGGGGGAGGTTTGCTGGGAAGAGGGCAAGAAGAGGGGGA